CGAATCCCAAACTAACGCTGATGGGTTAAAAGGTGTTTGGGTTAAAGTAGGAGTAGGTGAGTACATTGAGGATTTATTCCTTTGACAATGATACGTATTACTTAATCTATATAGGGAAGATATAGATAATAGAGATAATATAGGGAAGTTGAAACGTGACGTGTAGCACTTTACTGTGCGGATAATACTCCAACCGGGACCACTTCTATAAATTAGTGTCATTAACCAATCATATTGCAGCATTTAGTTCAATATTTTTTAACCAGCCAATCAGATAGCACATCGATATTATAAGAGCGTGAGAACGTAATAATCTGATTAGCTAACGCTATTATCAGTTCAATCTCTTTCTAGTTTACTGTTATCTGAATGATCAGCTTTATTCAAATGGTCCCGCTTGGTGTGTCCGCACAGTAAATAATGCTCCGATTTATTCAGAAATACAAATTATAACTTTTGATATTTTGATATTTTCATATTTTCATAGATTTTTTACAGATCTGGTTTTTTTTTTTTTTGTTTGTTTGTTGTTTTTTTTTAAAGAAATTAATTAATAATGTAGGAATTATTGTTTTTGTACTTAATATTGATAGGGAATTCGTATTGAATTTTTTTTTTCTTTTAATTTTTGATACCATATTTGGAGTTATGAGATCAAACTTCCCGCTGAATTAACTGACTTTCAGAGGAGATTTACTAAATCTTCCAATCAAATCAATTGGGATATCGGTCTTCAATTTCGCTTTCCTGGAGTTCCTGAAGCCTCTTATGAGTTTCTTTATCTATATTTTTGGAACCCTAGAACTCAAGCAAAAACTCTCGAACACAAAAAAGGAATCATTAGCTCTACAGTGCATCGATCTTTGTACCTCCGTCCTTTTAGAGGTGAAGTGATGTGAAGTTATCATACGCTTTTTGAGTGAGGGAAGTGACAAAAAAGGGGTCATATTACTCATGCCGTGCTTCTATAGCTAAGGAATGCGGCATATATGTCTTCACATTTTTTGCTACCGTATACAGTAGGACATCCTTAATTAAACCAACTTGATATTGGATACGTCGAATAGAATACTGTGCCAAAATGGAAGTAATTAAGTCACCGGCTTATCATAGTAATTCACTTAGGTCTTATCCTTGCAAACAAGGACTGTGATTTTAATTCAATCAAGATGTACAATAAACATCCTTATCACATAAGGCCAAAATTACTCGATGCTGATTGGCTAATGAAGGAGGGCTTTTTTCCGTAATTTGAGGCCGAATTACTAGAAAATGATTGGTAGTTCAGTTGCCTGGCAACCCTCGTAAAATGTAAACTTTTCTTTCAATTTTTGCACACACAAAAATGGCTTCCCGTTTTGCATTGACAGACGAAGAAACCACAAGAAAACTAAAAAGTTCAAGCAAAAATGAGAACAAAGAGTACAGGTGTCAAAGGCGTATCCAGCCAAAATTTTAGGGGGGGGGGGGGGGGGGGAAGGCTAGGATAGATGTTTTCCGTAAATGGGCCTCGGAAAGACCACTCAAGTAGTCTCAAATGTGTACAAATTCCCCAGCTCCAAATGTGACTTTGAACGCCATCGCTGGAAAT